TTTAATCTTTTACTTCAATTGAAAATTTGAACTGTGGCTAAAACTTAAAGCTTTATATATACCGATTTTCCGATTATTATTCTAATTTTATCATGTTTATTTAGGACCTAACTGTATTTGAACTCCATTACTCCATGAAACGCCCCAACTAAAGTAGATTTATTGTTATTCTTCATTATAATATTTATATTAGTATATTTTACATAGTTTTGAATATACTTGTTGGACCTTAATGAATATACATAGCCAGAGACTACGGTAGGGTTTACTGCAATGCGGGAGCATTAACATTCGGTGATATTTCAACTTGGACCCGCTCCTCCAATTTATGATGGTTACACTAAAATCTCAACTGCTTAAACAGACACAAATGTAAAAATAGAATCGCATCCTTAAGTAATTATGCTATTGAAACACAATCTTTTTACGATAACTCTTAGTATTTCAGCTAATAATTTACTCGTACATTTAAATTACATATAAGTTACAGTACTAAGTTTTGCTATTTACCCTTTTCTACTTTGATGTACCAATGGTGGGTTATATCCCCTTCAAGTCGAACATTTTGGAATTCGTACCACTTACATACAATTATACACTTACATAAAAGCTTTTCAAAACCTCCCAAAAAAGAGTCTCTGGCAAATACAATAGAGAGCGAACGCAATTTTAAATCCAAGACAAAATTTCTTAATACAGTATCATTCAATTGCGATTTCTATTTCTTAGATCTCGTACTGAAATCTTTCCTATTTAGAAGTACTAGTGTACCTGTTGCTCGAATTCGAGCAATTGCGAAGCATTACAGGCGTTATTTTAAAACGCCAATTTAAAATTTCCAATGACTTTATAAGAGTCGACTCAAAGATTATGGAAATACTCAAGATGTACACAGCAGTTAGATATAACTAGTGGCTTGTAGGGGCAATAGCCCCTATATATATATATATTCTAGTAAATATTTTGTACAAATTATTAGTCTCATGGGTTACCCTACCTTGAATTATCGTTTAACATTTTTGTATATTATAATATGTATAAAAGTTATTACATACCTGCATAATGCAATTTTTTGATGTCTGTTCTGTTTAAAATATAGATTCCAAAGGACTGTTCATGTAGTGTGTTTATAATACAAACTTTCTAATCATGATATACGTCTAAGGAAGATTTTCAATAACAATCTTCATGACTATTAATTAAATATTTATCAATTCCTTTGAATATAGACAAATTCACTTAAATAAAACACATAGAGATAATGTCATCCTCCAAATTGTATAATGCTAATTATAACAAAATCTCTCTAAAAACAACAGAGTATAGTATCCATTTTAATCGAATCCTTGGTCTTTATTTTGTTCTAGTACTATTTTAACATCATCTGGCAACTTTAACCGGCTAAAAGCTACATAAAGTTGACCATGGGTAAACACGGGTTTTTTTCAAATAAATGCCAACTTTTTGAAGGTTTGGCCTTGGGCTTTATTTATAGTAATATCGAAAGCTAATCGCAATAGGAATTGAATTCCTAAACTTAAACGGCATATTAGGATCTTTAGATGTTAGTTTTATTTTTGGCATGAAAAATATGTTCCCTTTGCCTACTCCAGTAATTACTTCTAACTTTACACTTTTTTCAGACATACCTAACACAACTAATCTTATTCCATTAACTAATCCAGACCCTGGAAAAAGTCTATATTTCAGTTTATAATAGTATACATATTACAGTACATATTACCATATGCTTTAAATTAAATAAACCACATGTTTTTAAGTAACCAAAGCAGACATGACCTGGATTCCCATGTTATTTAAATGTAAATTATTTTATTACGTAACGACCTTTTGGTGCATAATTAAGAAAAATGAATAATTTTCCCCAAAACTTCATGCCCAGACCTTTAAAATGAGACCCCTCCCAGCTTTCTACGGCCTCCCGTTCGCTCACAATTTCATTGTAAAATTTTGGGCTTACGGAATTAGATATATAGATCAAAATTTTTTGTAAATATCTTATCTCTTTTCAAAAGCTGGCCTTGTTTTTAGTGTTTTCTACAAATTTTCCCCACTCATAGCGGCATTAGGTTGTCTATAATAACGATTATAAATGAAAAAAACATTATTTCTATTACTTCTACTGTACTTGGTTGTGTTCTATGACTTTCCTGTTTCCATTGTTTGCAAATCTGCTCTTTCAATTATTGCTCAAGAAATGTAGCACAGTGTTAATTCAGTTTGATTTTTAGTATATCAAATTATCCAGTATTTCTAACTGTTTTCCATTGTAATTTTAAAAATTACACCAACCAAGTATCGTCTACTACAGCTATGCAATACGCCAAAGAATATCGTCTACGTGCTATCTCCAAGAAGTGGTAAAAAAGGCAGAAACCAACCCATACAATAGATTTAAGTCAACTCCAAAAGAAATAATTTTAAGAGTTACTGTGATATTAGGATTTTCCACTGATTTGGTAATAGAACATTATATTGTAAAACATGGCACGATTCAGAAGAAAATCGATTTTAAAATCAGAAAAAACCCATTGCAAATAGGCTACTTCATTTTGACAAATCTAGTAAATCACAATTTAAATATTAACAGCTGTTTCATTCAAAAGTAGTGTAAATGTATGCATATGGTCGTAATGTAAACAAATCTGAAGAGGGAACTTTAAAGGCCTCTGGGGCAGAGCCCCAAGGAAATTTACCTCGTTTCTCTTTTGAGGGCTCACCTACAGACCAATACCTTTCTTTAGACACCCCTACCAAGTTTCTACACCCAGCCGTTCTCTCAAATTAGCTGTGACAAAAACCCCGTTTTCCTCCATAAGAATAGCATGGGATGGGACTTTAAAGGCCACTGGGGCAGAGCCCCGAGGGAATTTACCACGTTTCTCCTTTGATGGCTCATCTACAGACCAAGACCTTTCTTTAGACACCCCTACCGAGTTTCTACGCCCAGCCGTTCTCTCAAAATAGCTATGACAAAGAAAAACAGTTTCAAATTAATATATAGATTGCTGAAATAACATTATCGTGCTAAGAATTTTTCACAAATCGTTAACTACTTTCCTTGAAGCAATACAAAAACACTGTAAACACGCGACATATTCGAACATACATTACCGATCATAAAATATTACTATGTAAAGTAATGGTTACTGGGACATGCTAAGATATTACTTGTCAGGGAAGAGGTCTGAAACCATTTGTTTGGAAAATGGATTGGAAGCTCGTGTCGGCCCTACGTGCTGGGAACAGTAATGGCCGCTAATCGGATGAAATGACGTCATACCCGATACATCCCATACATACCCAATACATCCGATAGATATAGGACAAGTTCATTTGATATTCGATGTCTATGCAGCCTAGCCTGACAACTTATTTTTGACTTGTCAAAAACCTTTTAATTTCGTCATACACAATCAATCACATACTTAATAATATATCCGGTACATATAAATCTCATGCCTAATCTGACATCTAATGTTTCAATTGTCTATCAAAGACATGCGTCATACCCAAATACCCAATACATCACATAAATACCGAGTGTATATTCAATAGGTAGATATAGAACACGTTCATTTATATTATATTGTATGTATATGCAATGCGTAGTCTTTACAGCTTATTGTCTCAAATATCCCATAATATACCCAGTATATATATCAGGTGATATTCTATGCATACAAAATAACCTGTTTTGACAAATGTCTAATTGTCTTATCATTGCGATACACGTGGCAGACATATTCAGTATATCCGATAGCTATTGTTTGTATACTTGAGTTCAATCACAGTGTACGTTTTCTTTAATTTTAAACATGTTTAACTGAACAAATAAACCATCTTAAAATCCGCGTTGTCAACTAGTTGGCTCCAACTGTAATCATTCATTTGACCGTTGCATTTTCATTTACGAATATAAAACTATCGTAGTTCAATTGAACCAGATTAAAAAGTAATTTCAGTCCAATCTACGCCAGTTCGAGGCGCCAAATAGTCTGTTGCTGAATTAGGCCGAACGCCTACTTCCTGGCGTTAACACTAACGGTCAATCATGGATATTGCCCATATACATCATCAGGGCTTCATTGGCCGTGATGCAATCTGACAAACAACTTCGCAGCTTCTATAGGCTGTATGATGGAACCTGTCTCCAACCCCTCCAATAGGGACTCTCCTGGGCATTAAAACCTTAACCAGTTAACAGGTTTAGTTCTATTTAATTTAATTGGCCAATGGTTTAAGGCTCAGCCCAGTTCCAGGTAGAAGAAGAGTAAGGAGCAGTATTCATCTTACAGACTATAGAGACTATGGTTCTTAATTAAGCGTCATGCACATTGTATTCACTACACATTGTGGTATTTTCCTACCCAATATCAAATACTTATCGTAATGGTTCTATAGTCATCTTTATTTGTTCCGAACTGCGCAGTTCGCAAACTGGTTCGTATCGGCTTGTTGCACAAGACTTGACCAAAAAGGATAATTTTAAAAGATGACCATAAAGGTATAATTAACGCCACTTATTGTTAAAAAAGTTTTTGGTAAAAATTATAATTTATTATAATATTACAATTTCACAGGATATATTTTATAATCTATGTCTTAACTACTTTGATCAAAGCTGATCAATATTATGTAAAACAATTATGGTAAAACATATGTTTTCAAACAATTTAACTAATTTTGTGTTAAAGTGTTTATCTTTTTTGTCCTGACAATATTTAGGAGAACTCCTTAACGTAGGTAAGGTTTTATAATTTAAACTAGAGTATGTTGAAATCAATTACCCTAGTTTTAGTACCTAAACATTTTGAATTGATCAGGTTTCGCAGTTGTTAATGAGGATTAGGTTTGTTGGAGTCTGTTCAGCAAGGTCTTATCGCTGGTGTAGTGGTTGGTTAGGATGTTCTGGTTTGTTTGGGTACATTTGATCGATTGTGACCTCCTCCAGTTTCTCACACACTCTGTTGTTCCAGATCCTGAGATGACGTCACCCCAGGCCTCCCCGCAGAACAAGCCAGCGCCGACCTCCTCCCTGCCTCTGGGCAAGTGGCAGTTGATGATCCGCGAGTCTACTGTCCCCAGCCATCAGCTGGTCGCCTGGACCCGTGTCTGGAGGCTGGCCCGTCTCCTCCTGGACACTGGATGTTGAAACTCCCCGGACTCCTCAGGTTCATCGACAATATAGTTCTAGTACTTAGTCGCACCATTCCGTCACCCGACGGTGAACCTCCCCGCGTGTTGTTCTCATTCTGTGAATGATTCCCCTATGAGTTTCTCCGGGATCCTAGGTGCTATAAGCAATAACTATCCCCAAGCGGTCCAGTATACCGAGGTGACCGCTTGGGACATTAATAACCTTGTTTTTGAAACGACCTTTTTAGAACTGTATATATTTGTGTTCATCTTATTCGTGTTTTCTCAAATTCTACTAAACAGCATTCGTTCCTCACCAGTGCAATTTCAGCGGTCGCTGTGTCTAAGTTGTTTTCCGTCCCTCTCTCGAATATCCGTACCTGACAGATTTCAGTGGTGCCAACTAATATTTTATGTCGAGGCTGTGTGTAGCCCAAGTTACCACCCAGAGAAGGTTGGCACCCTTGTTACCACCTTCCTAATAGTATGCTAGAACTGTTTGTGGCTCTGTATAGTTTAACTCCGATGATATATTTTTATTTGTGTTGATGTTGACGTTGATATTGGTTTTGTAATAAATTATTAATTACCTAATTGTTATTCTGGCGTGTTATTATCCTGGCTTCTTCCTGAAATGTACAGATTAGTCAACTTTGAAAGATATACTATTGCATTTATACAAAAATAGAAAAGTCATTCATTTTCATTTTTTCAAAAGTCTCTGTGAAGGCTAAAAACTGTAAAAGATTGGCATATTTATTATAACAAGATGGTTTTACAAAAACATGTAAAACTGTTAACACACATTGTTTCCATAAATGTAAGTTACTTGTTATGAGAGAAAATAGGATAAGTCACCCAAAATAAACTAACCAATAATCATCACGTGACTGTTTCAGAATCAATAAAAGGCTCCCATGTGTGGAACAAAATACTATGATGCAAAATGAAGATGTTTTAAAAGTTATTACAAAAAAATTATGAGCTCAGTAAAATTAAAAGTTAAAACAAATTCAAATAATTACCAGCATTGAGCATGGGAAATCAATTATAAAAATAACATATTTTTTAAAATATATTAATTATTGTAAAATGGTGTTTTTATTACAGTATTTACTTGTAAGCTATTTTCAAAAGTAGTGTAGTAATATTATGTAGGTTAACCTTTAATGATTGTTTGAAGGAAAGCCCACTTTGTCAGGTTACTGGAGGTAAAGGTAATTATGACACAGACCAAAATTGAATTGGACTGTTGAATTCTCACCTATAAATTTAAATACAGTTTGGCACTATTAATAATGGAACAGTTTTGTACAAACTGGGGGCGGATTCAAAACCATGGATACAATCAGTGGTTACAATCTGAAATCGCTTCAGCTGTTGGGGATTGACTAATTATATCCTCCACTGGCTCTAGGAGGTTGTGTGGGCAATGGCGAGGAAGATCATCAGGGAATAGAGGAGGGGTGGGAGCAGGGTAGAGCAGCTGTAAAGCGGTTATGGAATATATTTTTTTTAATTTTAATAAAATTTTCTTTTTTAGTATTTGTTACTGTGATAGTTGATGGGACGTAAAGTAGGATAGGTCACAATCGAGTTTTCCCTCAGTTTGACCAGGTTAAAAGGTTGGAGAATATGACAGAAAGCAGTAACATACGTCAGCACCTCTGCCTGTGGCTTAAATTAAACAATGTTCATTTTTATTTCAAACTGGCTATAACTTAGCATGGGAAAAACTGTCTAATCCGCTCATAGCCAAGGCTGGAATAAGGCTGAATCAAGCGTCGTCTTCAAAAGGTTTGTTGAAATGATAAGATACTGTACGTCAGCCATTAAATACCAAGAATCTGTAATAGTGGAGACAAGTGCACTTTAAGAGAAGATTATATATAGCGTTGAAAAAAATAACATACATCTATATAAAGCTAACAAGGATCTGGGCTTTTGAGAAAACCATGCCGCACATCTATCAACCGCATACTTGAATGAGAGGTCTTTATATGAAACTTTCCCTTAAAATATCAGGTTTTCGATAAACCCTCTCCAAAGGGCAGGCGACACTCAGCGTGGCCTTGGCAGGAACCTCAATTAAACGACTGTATTTAATCACATTTAAAATATTGGAGATACATCAGCTGTTGGATTTATTTTAGTTTGATCGTTTACTTTCCCTTGAGTTAACCTTTTGATTCTGCCATAGACTTCTATATTGCATCAAGAGAAGTGACGGTACGATTTTCTTAATGTTAGATAGTGTTCAAACCTTTAAATTATGTTTCAATTGTTTGCTGTTTAGTTAAGTTTTATATATTTCAAAAACCCAGCAATTAGTGTTGCAGTCAAATAGTGTGTATGTTACAAAAGAACCAGAGATATTTTACGGTGCCTTAATGTTCCAACAGGTAAAAATGTATCTGTAGAGTATTTTCCTTGTGACATAGACAGTGAAAATCAAGAACAAGCGCTTTAATCATCCAGCAGTTTGCATTGGAATAGGCGGCGAGGAATCGCCATATCTTCTCTGCGTTCTCTCCCCGTGGTGAGGCCACAGTACTACGGTTAAAGGACCAAGGACCATCTCTATACAGAGCTGTAAGTTTGGACATTTAAATCATAGAATAACTCTATATTTTTAAATATGCTTAAATCCATTAACAACAACGATCGTTTCCTAGCAGCTGACACCTATCTAATAACAACTAATCTTGAATCTAATAGGTTAACTTCACCTTTTAGCTAACCAATCAACCTACTTACTTGTGTCTTAAATGCTCGTTTTCCATAGATGTTTGTGATGCTGGGAGCTAAAGCTAATGAATAGTTTGATATTTAGATTAGCCGCCTAACTTGAACCTTGACCGATAAAACGGAGGCAGAACTCGACTTTACCTTTCACCGGCTCGATCAGCTGTTCACGATCAGCTGACTCGCTACAGTAAATTATAATACTAACTTTGTTTATTATTGGTAGAACTACAATTCCTTCCCCACAATTTAAAGTGGTCACCACTTCGTTAATATAAATATAATAGAGGCATCGACACGACGAGCTGACATAATTACCGATTTATGTGCCATAGTCACCACAAAATTCGTCACCAGTTTTCGGTCGTGGTTGAATTTTGAGCCATCCACACAAAGAGCCAAGGTAAATTACTGGTGTCCAATGCTAACCTACCCAGTTAAATAGGGTGGACATTATGTAATCTATAGTATACTGTATAACTTCTTGATCAGCATCGTACGTGTTATTAAGTTATCTGATAGCACAAAAAACACGTCAAATCATACTTATGATAATATATTTACACTTATACTGTTGACTCACAAGACGGTAATTCGTCTATCGGGTCTGATGATGATTGGAGTGTCCAATCGAAATAAATCACTACTTACCATCTTTTATATGTATTTACCGTATTGTGAGTAAACAGTATAAGTGTTATTATAAGTTTTATTATGCGTATATTATTGTTAGTGTTATTTGACGTGGTTTTGTGCTTTCAGGCAACTTTAGTATCTATATGACAAATCCTCCATCTCGGAGACAAAATTAAGGGAAATGTATTTCCAGACAGTAGCACATTCTGTGACTCATTTAACAATATGAAATAGAAAATTTGCTACAGCTGGTCCATATAAATGGAACGTCTACTTCACTATCGAAAAGTCAATAATTGTATCAATCAATTGCCAATCAAGTCAATTTTTGTTAGCGCACTTCAGCATTAACTACTGAAGAAGGAAGGAGTTTTCAACCGAGATTCCTCCATTCGAAGGTAGATGACTGATTGTGTGACAGTTTGGGAGTGAGAGATTAAGATATCATTATCTAACTCTACCTGCTGAAGACAGAGACAATGAAGATGACGAGTGATGGGTCGGTCAATGAACCGAGATAATACACATTTATAAGAATTCCACTGCACATGGTGGCCGAGCTTGGCTCTATCTACAAACCACTCTGGCCCTCAATATGGTTAAGACATATCGAAGTTAGGTTTATAGTATAACGTTAATATTTTAGGAAATTCCCGTTGTTTTTATCAGGAGCTTTATTGAATTTTAAAAGTTTATGATGTAAAATAATACTGTAATCGTGGCTTCTTATGCACAAGTGGGTTATTTATTTTAAATAAAAAAAAATGAAGTCACCGAAATAAACGGCATTTAATGAATTACATTTCGCCATTTTGCGCTCCTGCTATTGCACCCTTTAAGCTTTGAGAAAAGTTGAGGTAGGTAGTGACTACAAATTAGGAGTTCATCAACTACAGTACTGTATATGTTGATATTTTATACACACGCAGAAGAGTTAATTGAATATGAGTCAATACGAATTGGGTTTATACGTTATTGGTGAATAAAGTCATTGTTTAACTTACTCAATTTCTTATTAATTTAAATAAAAATTCAGACTGCTGTAAAGCCTGTGTCACACTTGGCTACTTACTAGCAGCTACCTAGTAGCAGCTACTGAAATAGCAGCTACTTTTCCTGTCACACTTATTTTGGTAGCGTCTATTCACTAGCTGCTACTACTAGTTTAGCTCAAGAGAGGTTATGTCCCAAAGACACGGATATTTTCTATACAGGTTCCAAAAATTAATCACATCTCCCCCACCCCACTTCGGATCACTCATGATTACTTCAGAAATTATTCAAAATGAACTAGTATAAACAAATCAGGCAGACAGCACGTGTTGCAAGTAGCCGCTAGTCTGCTATTGAAGCTGTCACACTGGGCGACAGTCGCTACTTGATAGCTGCTAGTTGGTCACGTGACTCACTAGCGCAGTTTAGTAGCACGGAAAGTTGGACATGTTCAACTTTCCATGCTAGTAAAATTTCACTAGCGCGCTACTCTTAGTAGCTGCTACTGCCTATGTCACATTGGCTACTTAGTAGCTGCTATTTCGCTAGCTGCTAGTAAAGTAGCGTAATGTGACACAGGCTTAATTCCAAAATAGGTTAGGACATACCTCTCGTTTTCAAATTTGATTGAATCACTGATGAACAAAAATTATTAAACAGCTGCTCATTTACATTAGTAGAATTAAAAACAAACTGGAAGTCGTTTTGAGAGGTTATCTTTACATGAAAAGTATTTTAGTTTTTTAGCTTAGAGTAACAAGTTGCAAAATGACGAAAAATTATGTATAGTTCCTCAAACTGCTTAAAAAAAGACTTTTGCATAGGTGTTTTATGTGTTGGTGATTTAAACTGATGAAAAAACGTCTGAAGGGTAAGTGTTGACTTAAATGTGTAAAGAATTATTAAACTCCAAATTGTAGGATTTCCTACATAATTACCTAATTCGGTAGATCAGTTACACTATGTTAGAAAGTTATTAAAAATACTTGTGTGTGTGCACCAAGACGTTTCATGTATGATTAATCAATTTCTTCACATAGGCCTAGCTAATGTTCACCGTTAAAAATTACGTTGAAACCATCTCAGATTCACATGTTTATTTTCCATGGTGATCCAAATTTTCTATTTCTGTAATCACTGTAACAGTTTATTATGACCTAAACATATAGACGAAGGATGTAAGAGGCAACATTGACAGGATACTGTGTTGACAATCCTAAAACCAC